CGCTGTGATATTGCTGGAATATTGCTAAAAGCGGCGTATTAACCATACTCACTCACACACGCATAACGTGGTAGCTAGTGGATATGATTTATTATTATTTACCCGTGAAGATTAGTGTTAGAATCAATCTTCAGCAACCCAAGCTTGTCGTGAGATGCAACTAACGTGATAGTGTGGTCAGGCTCGCTCACTTGGTTGAAAATAGTCAGCGCATAACAATAGTGCAGATCTGTCATCATGATGTAAATAACTGGATTGTCTGGTCCAGACTCGATTACCTACTGACCACCCTTATATAGCTTGAATATTGCCTAGTGCAGCATTAAACAACAAACATCACCTCACGTCCAGACAATGCAGGAACGTGACCTTACCTGAACAAACAATTATTTAAGTGTTTCAAATTATTATTTAAAGTATTTGGTGTGCAACCTCATACTGAACATTTCTCAGTTTGCTTAGCATGGGTGCTGTAACCGAATGATTCCCAGCGATCGCCAGTGTTCCATTCTCCAAGTGGCTGAAAAGCCCATATCTGGGGGCTCACCTCCTGGATATTCATGGCATATCACTAAACGTTATTCACACGATATTCTCTTTCATTCCAGGACAACTGCCCTCTGATTAGCGTCACCCTGACAACTTATTAGTTTTACGGAACAACTGCCAATTGATTAGTATACTAAAGACATCTGGTTATTGTTACTGGGAACAATTGTCACCAAGGACAACGAATGCTTCATAAGCATGCAAATCGTGCTCACTGCAAGAACAGTCATATCTGATCACCCTGTTTTGAGATTTAGACGGTAATGTTTTTATTTTTACTATTTCCAAAACAAAATACCCTTTAACATTCATATGGACACTTTCCGATTGGTCTGTAAGATAATATTATGCGATATGCATTTACAGTGTGAACAATTCGGGAGTCAAGTGTTTTGAAGTTGACTTGGTCATTGCCATATGTTAGAAATAGATACAACATTTACTTTAGAGAATAGAACTGACAATACATTTTAAATCATTTTGTATTCACGCTGGGGAATTGTAAAATAATCAGACTATTTCATGTGTATTTTTGTACAGCACGTAATCTATTTAATTCAATTTTAGGCTGATGCAAACCCCTAGTGTCTCCTGCCTATTTGTTTAAACGCGAAAAATCAAACAGGGGCTACGTTATTTCATTCATTTAGGCAGTAGAATATACCCAAAGGAGCCGTTCAGCGTTCATACGCTCCCTCGTATTTCTGAATTGAGGATAAAATCGATTTTTTTCTCTTAAATGAATAAGAACAGAATGTAATCAAAACATACTGTAAAAATATGACCTGACATCTCTTTTCACTTCAAAGAGACTTCAAAAATAAAATGAATATCAATGCCATTAATCAAAGCTGTGCAGCAAATGCGGCTTATAAAATAACAATTTATGTGTAATCTACCGCTCGTCTTCCAGGGGAACGATTATCGTGCATTTGCCGTATAGATTTAAAGTGAATTCCCTGACGCAATCGAGCGGCTTTTACACAGCAAACATACGTCTACCGACGCCTGTCAAAGTTCTATTCAGCTGTTCCACTAATGGGATTTATATTTTCTTCATCAGTGTGTAGTTGAGTTACATTACTTAAGCTCTATGGCTTAAAACTCGTTCATATTACATTGCCTTCTATGCTTAATAACAGACAGGAAGGGGAAATTATTCTAAGACCTAATACTCTTAACAGGGACCTACCAAGATGACCTCGATTACTTCATTGTGACCTGTTCAAACCTTTCAGTTTTCAGTTATAGTTGAAAAGGAACTACAAAAAGTGACTCGGTTACATGAACAATATCTTCAGTCTTTCAAGGGCGCTTTTTATCATATAACTTCATTTCTGACCCACCAATCTCATGTGCTAATTTGTCGACCATGGCTGGCAATCTGAAGGATGGGTATTCATTATTTAAAGACATATTTCAAACAGCTGAAACGCGAATCTCGATTCCTGATTCATCATGCTGACATACGTTAGAGTGCAAAATTATACGCTAGAAAATAGATTGTGTCTATGTCTGTAGGTAATTATATTTTTGTCCCATTCCTATAGATATAAAACTGTGCTCAATTTATATTTGATATAGTTAGTGTTATTAGCCGACCATAGCTACTGCCCTGACAATAACGGATATTTTGCCACAGGACAACTATTCCATGCTATGTATTTACACATTTAAACCTCTAATATCATATGCTATTCTTGTATAATCCAACTTTGTTCATGGTAACCTTTAACTGATACAAATGTACTATAGTATGAGATAACATATGTCGTGCCACAATAATGTTTCCAGTTTTAGTTCCGTATGACGTTTATAGGTGTAACGAAAATACATAGCAAGGCTTAGATATACGAGACTCTCAACAAAACAGAATATTCTGCACGTTATATGTAAGACAGATATGAAAAAATAACCAGATTGATATTTACGTAAGGCTTAGATACCACGTCCCGATTTCTCGAAACAAACATTAGTCTGAGTTTTGACTTAACTTATGTTAGAGTTTTGACTTAAGTTTAGTGTGAGTTTTGACTTAAGTTAGAGTTTTTACTCAAATTTGAGGAAATGTAGAAAATGCATTTTCGAGAATGAACTGAAATCGATATTAAACTCAAACATAGAAGACAATTTAAGTTTGGTGGATAGATTATTTAAGTTCTTTGGCCTTTTATTTTAAAAATGCAGTTGAGTTAAAAATTCAGCTCTTTCAAATTGTCAATTGAAATTTGAGTAAAACCTAAGTTTGTTTCGAGAAATTGGCGCCATGAGAGACACTAATACCACTGAGCAAACATATAAAATAATAACACAATTTCCTACTCATCCATAACATGTAAGAAACAATTTATACACAGGGTTTCATCAGCCAGTTACACTTAGATTGTATAACTGTTTTCTGTTTACATTACTCGATGTTATAACATCTTGCATGAATGTCTCTGAAGTATTATGGATGATTTTGGTTATCCTATCTTCCATAAACCTTTTAAGCGTATCAATTAACTTAATGTACCAGACTGTGTATACAAAACATTTACACACACAGCCATCAAGAGCAGATCTTAATTACGTAAGTTGTGTTATCCGATGTGTGTGTAGACATTCCAGCGGCCACATAACGCATATTGCTAATTGATTACCTTATGTAAAGGAAACATGAAAAAACATCACTTCTCCCAAAGCGATGGTTCTCGCCGTTGTGCTTTCAAATGTTCTTTTGAGGTGCGTTTGGAACAATCGATTACCTTCCTAAGTACTTCTCCAAGAACACTGAAGATGTGTGTGCATACATCTCGAGTATTGTTCCCTTGATAACGATGGGAATACTCCTGCGTTTACTTTCAAATTCAATCTATACGTTGGAGTGCATTCTTGCATATACACGGCGGTGCATCAAGCTGCTCTGACTTTCGCCAAGAATAAGCATCCTAATTGCAAGCTTGTTCTGTTATATGTGTGAGCAGCAATCGTTAAACGACGAATGAGTTTGAATTTTTCCTCTGTGTTTGTAACAATGATTTATCCAAAGCTGAACTGTATACTTGTTTTGTAATTTCAAATAGTTTTAGGAAGTCAACGCCAAACTGATAAAAATGAATTCAACTATATCGGACACGATCCTTGTTATTTTAGGCTTGTGTGTCCCAATAAGTCTCCATCTGATCAACTAAAGATCTGAGAAATATTCAGATCTTGAAACTGAAGGGGTAAATGCAGCCTTGAAACTATTGTGAAATACAACTTTATTATTTGTAAAGACGTTTAAGAACATCGTCTTGTCCCTTCCTGAGTCCCTTCTATTGTTTGGAAGGATGTTTCTCGATATAGCTTCCGTTATGGACAAGAATTCCTGTTCCTAATGACATTTCAGGGCTCTTTCGATTATAGATAAGACGTTTGTGTTGCTTGCAACATCCTTCTAGGCTTACGTATATTATGGATAATAAATTCTGTATTGACGATTCAGTTTCTTGTCCTAACCATGATGAATTGGAATTTCTGTCTAAGTTGCAAGGCTGTTTAGGGCTACTTCTTAAACTTTACAATGACTTTTGCGGCCAATTCTTGCCTTTTCGTGTATGGATTAGAATTTCCGTGTTGCTTGAAATGACCTAAGCCTATTTCTTTACGGATAAGAATTTCTGTATTGACGTTTGGGTATAATTTCGTGTCCCTACTATGATGAATTGGAATTTCTGGCTTGGTTGCAATGATGTTTAGGGCTACTTCTTAAACTTTCGTGTATGGATAAGGATGTCTTTATTGATTGTAACGTCGTTTCAGGGTTACTTCTTTCCCCTTGTTTTGTCGATAGGAATATCTGTGGGTTTTCAAATGTAATTACGTCTAGTGCTGATGCGTCTCTTCGTGTATGGCCAACAATTCGTTTACTTGTATGGGGGAAAGAAGTAGCACTGAAACGTGCCAACAAACATCGAAGAAGTTATCCATATCTGTTTCATATCTTCATGTTCTTCATGTTTCTAGTATGGTGATCTATCTGAAGTAGTTTTTATCTTTCATTGTTGCCAAATGGTGTGCCAGTTTTAATGTTTTTCAACTAGTTTTAAACCAAAATATATTTCTTGGTGCATCATATTACTGTGTAACTTGTAAAAGTCACAATATGGCTTGAAAACTGCTGATGTGATTCAAACTTCTTATGAAGTACGTGAGCATGTAAGCATTAGAAACATTCCAGTGGTTTCACTGCTGGCTACACAAGAAATACGCGTCAAATATTGTATCGATGTTGGGAATCGAACCCGGTTCTTCGGCGTGATAAAAGACCGATTTAACCACTCGGCTACCCACCCAAGTGACTACTAAAGACTTGAGATTCCATAACGTGTATTTCTGACTAAAGCATTTAAAGATGACATCAATATATGTCAAACACGTGCAAACAACGACACATAACCAATTCCTTGCGAAGTCAATACGAAGAAAACACTTTCGTTAACCATTTTATTGTTTCTGGCAAGATTTTTCTTTCCACTACATTCCAGGTGACTAATTATCTACATACAAAGCTACACATCTATTTTATTACATATTATCGGGTTATAACATACAAAAGAAACAGCTGTCTCCTTTGTACATTTATGCGTCTTCCTACCACTGGCGAATTGAGCATTTGTTGAGTGGAGTTAGCATGCACAGGGATCGTTACCACTTAAAGATATTACAAAGTGGTATAAAAAACAGATGTTCGTTCGCCGTTGTATGTTTTCTATACTAACCTATTGATCGTATGAACTAGGAATATCAGATTGCTTCTACTCTGTTAGGATTCGTATATGGTAATATTGCTAAAATGTAATCTACTGATTGGATGAAGCATACTGATACGAATGTTGCTGGCCATGTTCTCGTTAGGCATGTACAAAATGACCTTGTTCTTCTTACAGTTACAGTGATCTTTAAACCTTGGTTAGTTCACAATACGCCCTTGTTTGTGAAGCGTCATTGAGTATGCTGGCGGTACTCACGATTAAGGACAGGGCATTGTCTCTTTAATCCTTTCCAGAGGAGGATATTTAGTAATATCCCACATTTACCACGAGTCGATCATGCATTTCCAAAGTTACACAACAATTCGACGTCACAATATCAAGCATCGGTTCCTTCTAAGAGCATCTTGAACCCGGGCGGCTGTTGGTTTGTGACCGTAGTCTATATAATCCACAGCTTTCATGAGTTCTTTAAACATAAGAATAATATGCCAGTTAAATTTTGCGGAACACTCGACGTAGCCACATTTCCATTGTTTCTTAACGAGGTTAGCCACCTCTCTTCGTGGCATCCCTCTTTCCTCAGCCAAGTCATGCTTGTTCCCAACCACGAAGATGGGGACATCGTGCATGTCCCTGCTCTCAAGGATCTGATCCCTGAGAGTCTTGATGTATTGGAAGCTTTCTTCGGAAGTGATGTCGTAGACAAGGATGTAGGCGGTGGCGTTTCGGAGGCCATATCCGCGGAAGTCTGTCCACTCGTACAAAGAATTGACTGGGAAGTAAGGAATGTATGGACAGTCGATTATCTTCAGTTCATACAGGTGGTCGTTGATGATTACAGATGGACAAAAGACTTCCTTCTGCTCTGTAGGAATGTAATCCTCGGCGAACTGGTTGCACACAAATTGTCGAATAATAGAACTCTTGCCAACTCCCGGCGCGCCAAGTACAGCAAGTTTGACACATTGAAAGTCAGAATCTATTGTCAGATGGCTCGTGGCCATGATGAAAGACTCTCTCGCCTGTCCGAATCGCCGACTGCATTCTTTCCGCGTGGACCCCTTGTGTCGTCTGTTTATCAGCCACGAGGGTTTCCCCTACTGAGCAGACGATATGTAAGGACTGGTCTTAATCCCGAGCACGCTTTGGCCTAATATAGCTAATCTGTGCCATCATATCTTGGTGTCATTGTAGATATCGATTGAAGAACGTCAGCACTGCTGCCCAGACTCCGAACGCTTTCCCGCCACCGTCATGATCGCCTGCTTTCTACTGGCTTCGTGTCGTCTGCTGCTAAGAAAATAAGAGAGTCAGTGAGCATGCGCAGTAAATGAGGCTTGAATTTAAAGAGATGCTATTGACAGCTCACCAAAGCTAGCCATTACGGGCGAAATTTATCATTTCAATAACGTGCTTCATGACTTTTCCTGCAACTTGTTTCTGTAGTAATAATTGATTTTCTGGGGCTATGAGTTCTCAGTACCGACAAGGAACAAATAAACAAGATTTATATTCCTTGGGCGTCTTGATCCCGTGTCACTGTACATATATGCGTCTTATCATCAGTTTATTGATATTGGAGATAATATCTATGAAGTGTTATCATATATCCAATAACAGAGCGATGGTAATGGCATCGCTTAAAGCCTGGCACATTGGGCGATAACCGACACAAGTTACTACTTTTCAAAGGCTAAAGTTCCGCAGTGATAGATGTTTGTTAATATTTATAGTATATATTCTTTATCAGGTATCCGCTGTTTATAGTGAGGTTTGGAAGGATAGGGATATATACATTTTACTTAAACGAGAGAGTAAGAGGTTTTGTGCTGCTTTTAACAAAGTCCCAAAGTCAATGTACTTCATTAACAGTGACTGTGTTGGTAGTCGAACCCAGGATTTATATACATGACGAGCGATAGCATTACACAGTAGGCTACTCACTGCCCCATGGTACGAAGACATACACGACAGACAAAAGACTCTGATAGTGAGACTTATAATCGAGAGTAATCATCGAAAGTAATCATTTCATGTGAACTCGTCCGGAGTGACGAAGAGTATTGCTGCTATATTTACTGACGCTTCAACAAGAATGTTCTTAAGGAGAAAAGGTACTGTCTTAGAGTTTTCACTATACACACACGCACAAGTTCCCGCAATGTTTATGAAGGAGACACACCCAATCTTGATGACCACACTCATTTAAAGTGATTGAGTGAGTATGGTTTTACATCGCTTTTATCAATATTCCAGCAATATCACGGCGGGAGACACCAGAAATGGGTTTCACATATTGTACATATTTATCTGGGGAATCGAACCCGGGTCTTCGGCGTGACGAGCCAACGCTTTTCCCACTAGACTACCCCGCCGCCATACTCATTTAAAGATATGGGTTACCTAATGTTGATCATAGTATCCAACTGATATAGAATATTTAGGGGTTGTTTTTGTTCCCCGCGATAAACTATATTCCAACTATAAGCAACAGTATTCCGGTTTGTCGACCGGTGGTGGTGTAGCCGAGTGTTTAAGCTCGTCACGCCTAATGCCCTGGTTTCGATTCCCCACATGGGTACAGTGTGTGAAGCCCTTTTCAGGTGTCCCCGGCCGTAATATTGTTGAAAGATTTCTGAAAGCGGTGTAAAACTAAACTCACTCATTCACTCGTCTGTCGACCAGGCAATGACATCCTGACCAACGATATACGCAATTGGGATAAAATGTCATGGAATAAGATGAGGCGTCTGAATAAGGTCGATCGCGTAAGCATGTGTAGCTGAAGTCCTATTAAACCGATATAAAATATTTAGGCACCAACTACTACAATCTACGATACGCGGCATAATTGTCCCAAAGTCTCTCTCACTATCTGCATTACCGGGGCCATGTGTGCGTTAGAAACCGATGGGAATATTCCTGACGCGGGCGTTTTACATCACGAATGATAAGCACATCCTAGAATGAAAAGGTAAACATGTCAAAGGTTCTGTCAGCAAAACCCGTTGACGTGATCGCGGTCCTATGATGAATGGATACAACGTGTTTCCAATTAAAACCTAAAACATGGACGCTGTCAAAACTAAGCAAAACCTTGAAGAAACAGTGTCCCAACTTGTTTCTATCTAATACTGTTTGTTGATGGGATCCGTATTTACTTAACCTACTGGAACTAAGGACACGCACATATACCCCCAGAGTCACAAATCAACACATATTAAATCAGCGACGATTCTGATTAATCCCCCTGTCATTAATACCGTTTATACCCCGAGTGTAAATATTGATACGATGTAATATTAGGCTCCCATTCGTTACTTGTCGGGACGAATTTTCTTGTCAGATGCTCAATATCTCCCTGTACACATCTCCAATTCGGAGGCTATTCACGAAATCTCAATATTAATCACCGCTCTTGTTCGGGAGAGAAACACTCCGCCTCATTCAGTGCAGTTTATAGTAACAACGCTTTGAGGAATCTTCAACTCTGGCCTGATGTCGTGACTGTTTTCGATAAGATGGCGTGATGCAGTTCAATGCAGCCAACATCTCAAATGCAATGGAATTTAGTTTTCGATAATGTAGGCGGCAGGAAGATGAGGACCCATTCGTGTCAATGTGAAAAATGATATCATTGCAACAGATCAAGAGACATATAGTATGATGCAGTGAAATTGAAAAACATTTCTTTCCATATTACATTATCATATTGCTGTCTGGAGGGGACTTTCTATATATAACTACACATGCTTCAGAATATCAGGCAGTTGTATAATGAATAAAACAAAACGTATTCCTTGTACATTGCTAGATATATAAAGCTCAGAGAGAAAAATATGTAGATACTAGCTTGAAGGTACACTTGAGAAACAAGTTCTTCAACATATTGACCGAATGATACAGACTTGTGTATCGATTAATGGACAGATCATTTATCATTTTGGACAGGGTAAAGCTGGCATTTTAGTGCGTTTTTCGTTCACAGACCCTAGACATGTTCATCATTTTCTGAACGAAGGGTCGGAGTAATTCATTTTGGTTGTAAAACCTGAAGCAAAATTACTTTCTTATTTTTTCTTTAACAATTTCATTTGTGTTAATTCCCTAGCACCTGATATGTACTTCCTGCTCACACAGTGCCGCGCACGCACTCACACAAAAACGGTCACACACAGTCACACAAAACGGCCACACACGACAAACGCATGCAGTCACACAAGGACGGTCACACACGGCACGTGCATGCACGCACTCACACGAGAAAGGCAACACACAGCACACGCTCTCTCACACACCCAAGAACGGCCACACACAGCACCCGCATGCAGTCACAAGAGAACGGCCACACACACACTCACACAAGACCGACCACATTCAGCACACGCGCTCACACTAGAACGGCCACGTATAACACACGCACGCACTCACTCACTCACACAAGAACCGCCACGTACAACACACACATTAGAAAGACCACACACAGAAAGCACACGCACGCACGCACGCACACAAGAGCGACCACACATAACACACGCACTCACTTGCTCACAGCCACATGCACACACACACACCACGCAATCACACACCACAGCTTCACTCCACTACTAATTACCACATTCGGTCTATAAATGAGGTATAGGTGTTCCAGTGTCGTATAATTTACACAAGAACAATGCATATTTGCAATACTGACAGAAGCAGAGGAGATGGCATTTAAGTCCACAATAGTTAATGATAACATAACAAACTCTAGACTACACCTCAGCTCAATTCAATATGGTTCATCTCACCCACGTTTTGCTGGATCGCACAACCTGGAACTCATTGTGTTGAACAAATAATTCCCAACGGGAAACATATATGAAACTTGATATTAATGCAATCCCCAGATATTACAGTTATCGATTGGATAGGCCCCCAGCAGCTATTGTTTGGTTATCGGTAAAAATATCATGTTCTTTCTTTTCATTCTGCCAGATTGTATCGCTCAGGAAATATGCAGGTTTCTGTCTAACAATAAAGCTGTTGGGCAATTGCGGTGCGATTCAGAGAAAGTCACAAGACAAGAAAATCAAGATATCGATCGGGCATTGATATTTCCTGCCACCCAACAATTAGAGAAATCAATATCAGAAGTAGAATTAAAAGAAAACGACTGACTTGTGCTTCTGTTCAATTGCACATAGTAATTGATTAAGAGTAGCATTCACCGCGGAGGTGATATTGCTATGTGATAGCAGGGAAAGAATTTATACGAGCAAGGAATGTATTCATCGTTAGAATAACTGTTAGGAAGAAATGTTTAGCTTAAAGGATCTGATTCGTACACTATCAAACTATGTATATGTAAAGTAACACATTTCATTGTAGAGGACCCGTTAAGATCCGGGTTAGAAGTGCTATTCAGCAACGTATGCTTGTAAGAGGCGATCAGGTGGTCATGCCCGCTGACATTGTTGACACATGTCATTGTATCCCAGTTGCGTAGATGTGGTCCAAACTCGAGTATTTATATATCGGTGTCATATAGTTGGGGTATTGCTGAGTGCGGCGCTAAACAAACAAACAAATCATTGCTAAGATGAACAAATTAGTTTGTCTGCTTCAGGCAATATTCAAGCAAGATGACAGTGGCAATTGACCAATATTTCGTCCTATCTCTGTTGGTGGTGGAATTGGGTTTAACGTCGTTCTTGAGAATATTTAGCTCATATGACGACGTGCAAGCGTGTGTATGTGTAGGTGCGGCTGCTTGTACTAGCTGGTTTTATAGTGCTAGTTCACTGAGATACCATGCCGCAGTAAAGCATATGAATACCCCACTCAGACACATTATACTGACTCTGAGCCGACCAGTCCTTGTTGTATTCATTAATGCCGAGCGCCAGGCAGGGACCAACAGGTACCATATTTTAACGTCTTTTGGTATGACGCGGTCGGGGATCGAACCCGCGACCTTCCGCTCTCCGGGCGGACGCTCTAACCACTACACCACGGAGGCGGTCTATCTCTGTTGGAGAATGATGACAGGCAATCACTAAGCTCACTGAGCCTTATCACCTTTTCCATTCACTCGCCTCTTAGGTACCATCGGCTTTTGGTGCCTTTCTGAATTATGAAACCCAAGATACGACTGACCTGCAATGTGCGAGTTTATTTCTCAACAGACCAATATGTTTCGAAACATGACGGGGTACAACATGGTATTAATGAGCGGAATCGACCCCCGTCCTGTATGTGATTGGGATAAAGCCACTTCCCCACATGGCTACACCAAGTGATTCTAATGA